ATAGTGTATGAAAGCTTCATTGATAATAACAGAGATGTGTGAGATCGCGATGAACTGATGTCAGCTTTTTAGGAATTATTATGGGAGCGCACTTTGCGCGCAGTCATACCAGATAATGCACGCAGTAGGCCGCTTGCTTTTATGTTATAACAGTGATCAGGAGCATGTATACTGATGTGTATGGTGGCGACACGTAGGCTAACTTGAAAGTATTTGGAGGTACAGAAAAAAAGTCTTTTTGCGGGTGGGAGCGGGACAAAACATAAATGTTGCATACGGGAGAACGTAAGATAGAAAGTAGTTGAGAACGTCAGTTATAACGACCCACGTATTAAAAAATAGTCGGGTTTAAACCGGGCTCGGGCTCATAATTACAGTTAATGTGTCGGGCAGGGCCGGACCGGGCTCGGACACAGCGGGCTCGGGTAGGGTCTTGCTTGATTTTTTTGGGCCCGATCTAAGCTCTACCTCGGGTAAGTTATGCTAACACTTACAGGCACGAATCAGCCGTTTGTCCTTGGGGAACTTGTGGAGCCTCTCCCCCGTTTTTGATGTATTCGCACATCCCGCACAAACACAATAGTTAACCATTTTTGCTAGCTAGGTCTTCAATATAACGTAACTCCAGGCCTGGAGCATAGACAGTAAAAGCTTGGAGTACCTTTTATGACGTCACGCCCAGCCTAGTGGAAGGGAGCGAGCGTGCTTAAAACCACTGTAAAACGCACCAACTTTTCATATTATATTCAGCATTTTGGTATAAAAAACATAAAAAAAACAATGGTGGGCGGTTCTTATCTTTATGTTTAGTAAGCACATTGCATTATCTTCGTGAAAATTTTTACCTGCAATTTACACTTTACCATGGAAACACTGCCATCTGTTGGATTTTTAGCAGATCTGCATGTTGTTTCATACCACACAAATGTCATGACAGTGTACTTGTAATACAGCCTGTTGATTCTGATGCAGGTTGGAAATCCTTTTGGACCGTTCTGGGACCATATTGGAGTCGACTTTGACCGTTCCATTTTTTTCGGAGGTCTGTCATTTGGCTCCTACTACCAGCCGCACTGGATAAAGAGGTAAAATTAAGCTGAAATACTTACATTAATCAAAATGTTTGCACTCAAGCTCCCTTCACCTTATTTTTCTCACTCTCAATCTCTTGTGTTTTTCTTTTTCTTCAGGTTTCCCCCAGCAGAGCATCCAGTTCTCGCTCTTCCAGGAGCCCCAGCACAGTTCCCTGTACTGGAGGAGCACATTGGACTGCAGCAGTATGTGGTGTGGTCTGACAAACTGGTACAGGAAGGAGAAGGCCATATCAACACCCTGCTAAGCAGACCCTATGTGGGCATCCATCTGAGGATTGGCTCTGATTGGGTAAGCTCTGTGTCTGTAAGCATAAAGCAACCAAATATATAAATAAACAGGCTATGATTGATTCTAGAAAAATAATGTAAATGATGTGAATCTCATCATAACATTTGTGCTCCAACAGTATATCTGAAATAATGTGGCTGGTTTTATGAGATTCCTGAAGCACCAATACCAAGTGTAGGATTGTAGACCTAATGTGGCCTGAATCAGATGGTACACATCATATCCTCTTAACTATTCTTTTTACCATTCCACACAGCAAAATGCCTGCAAGCTTTTGAATTCGGGTGATACTGGTCCTCACTTCATGGCGTCTCCGCAGTGTGTGGGATACGACCGTCAAACTGCCCTGCCGCTGACCATGACCATGTGTTTACCGGATCTGTCCGAGATCCGCCGTGCTGTGAAACTCTGGGTGAAGAACACCAGTGCTCAGTCAGTATACATAGCCACCGACTCCGAATCGCACACCGCAGAGATTCAGAAACTCTTCAAGGGCAAGGTGAGGTTTTATATTTTAACATTACAAAAGTGTGAACGTGATTTAGGAAACAGAATATAATAGTGTTGACACATTTTGTGCAGGTGAAGGTCGTGAGCTTGCAGCCGGACACCGCTCAGGTCGACCTGTATGTCCTCGGCCAGGCCGATCACTTCATCGGCAACTGTGTCTCGTCCTTCTCAGCCTTTGTTAAAAGGGAGAGAGATGTTCACGGGAAACCTTCATCCTTCTTTGGCATGGACTACCCAGGAAAAAGGGAAACAAAAGAGGAACTCTAATGAAATTAAGAGATTGCGTTTTTGTAACTGTGAAGACTGGTTGACGTTTTGCATGTTTCAGGTGTCATTAGTTTTTGAACAAGAACATTTTGATCTAGTACTTAAATGAAGGGAGAACAGTGGAAGTTAGTTCCTTATTGATTTCTCGAGACACACCGTATCTCCCATTTTGCACTACTATCTTAACTGTGAGCAACCAAACCAGAATGCTCCACTAGACCTTGCTCCCTGTTTCTTCTAGAAAGAAGTGGGTATTTATCATGGCATATCGATTACTGGTATATGTTTGTACTGGGATGTTTGTATAGAGTGGCTGATTTGAGGATGGAAACTGACCCCTGTTAGGGTCTTGGAATTATGATCGAGAGACTAGTCAGAATTAGTCAGGTGTACGCGGTTAGAAATAGCACTTTTCAGTTGAAGCCAATTCAAGAGCACCAGTGATTTCTGAAAATGTATTAAAAATAACATTGAATGCGTGTCATACAGACTTTCTGGTGTCTTACAGTAATGCAAGTTATGCAAATTATTTTGAAAGTCAGTGTGAAACCAAATGGGAGAAATGTTTTATAAGTGTTTTAAACTGTTTGTAATTGTTAGTAATTTTGTATTGGATGACATTCCTCAAATTAGTTTATCAATAGAAAATAAAACGAGCAGTATTCTGTGTGCATTTATATCCTTTGGGTTTATGATCCATTTAAAAAGGCGTTTTAACAAATAGCATATTGTTTCCACTCAAATGCAGTGATTACTACTTTTCAAAAGTTTAGGGTTGATGTCTTTTTATGTTTTTGAAAGAAGTTTCTTATGCTCACTAAGGCTGCCTTAATTTGGTGATAATACAGTTAAAGGTATATTTTAAAATGTATTTTATTTCTGTGATGGTAAAGCTGAATTGTCAGCATCATTACTCCAGTCTTCAGTGTCACATGATCCTTCAGGAATCATTCTAATATGCTGATTTTATGTTTTGGAAACGTTTGTCAATTTGGATCAAGTTAATGTGTCCTTACTGAGTTTTAAATTAGTATTAATTAATATTAGTAATTATTCTTTAATCAAAAAAACTTTTGAACAATAGTGTATTTATTGTCATTGCAACAAATCTTTGCAAAAAAAAAAAGTTTTAAATAGGTCTATTTATTTCTCAATTTGAAAACTGTTATTTTTAATAATAAATTGTTCATTCATTCCTTAATTTTATTAGCGCTTTATTGTTATTCCATTACTTTAATAACAAAACAAACAAATATACAAATCTATAGTGGACATTTGAAACGACTTTGAAAATGTGTAACTAAAGGCTCTATATGGCAAGCCGTTTTGACTTTTATTCATTCCCAAGATATTAATTATTCTTGATATCAACAATTAAATTTTCGCTAGTTAAAATGCTAATTCTTGAAATCAGGAATTAGATTTCTACTAGTAACAATGACAATTTTTGATACTAGGAATTACATTTCCACTAGTAAAAATGTTAGCTTGTTTGCACGACATCACTGCTGTGGCATGGAGGGCAGGAAGCGATTGGAAGCACCATCACAAACTCAAATTGCCTTTGTTTTGCGTCGTTTATGGTTGCTCAAATCGATCAAACCGAGATACCACAAGGAGCTTTAATCGGTAACCAAAGGTTGTTGCCTTTAGTCGTATTTTGTGTCTGCTTATTCTGAAATTAATACGGATTCCTGCTTAACTTTTGTTTTTGACTTGGGTTAAATATTCACATTCTTCATGGTATCGTTTGCAGTGAAGAGAAGCTATTTTATCCCATTGCATGATCATTAGTGTTTTCACTGAAGAAGTTTTGTAGAATTACGTTCACAATGTTGATCTGGTTACAGTGAAAACAGTGTCACTCGCTGCTGCTTCAGCCATCATGTGGTGGAAATGTCCAAATTAAAAAAGTGTTCTTCAAGCTGGCAGTAATGGATCCATTGATTTGATCCCAGACAGCCTCTGAAGTCCCATTTAGCCACTTGTTAGCAACCGCCTTTTTCAAGACACATAACAGCTAAAATAAATCACAAATGGGCCGGGGTAATACTGATGTATTTTATGTTGTAGAATAAAACGTGAAAGTGTCTTGAGCTTGTGTTCACCCCAGACCTTATTTCAGCCATTTAACAACAAAACGATAAAAAAAAAACCATTGACATCGGGACGATGGAACCGGAAGTGCTAAAATGCTAACTCTCTTTTGCGTTTTGGCCTACAAAGTGATGTCATACATACCTGTCCTGCACCGCTCTATGGCTTGTCTGCAGTCACGTGATTCTGATGACGTGCGAAATTCAGATGGAGGGAATTGAAAAGCAGAATGGATGAGATGGAGGAATGTCCATATTGTGCCCATTTGTGATTTTTTTGAGCTGTGTTTTGAAAAAGGCCGTTGCTAACAAGTGGCTAAATGGGACTTCAGAGGCTGTCAGTGTCAGGGAGATTAAACATCATCACGCCAAAGAAGTAAACTCAGTCTGCTTTTACAGCCTCATCATAACTTTCGGGGAAAATGTTTTTAGATAAAAACTGAAAGAGTTGTCGGAATTCAGTGATGGTGACGTTGAAGTCCTGGGACCGTGGTGTAGGCTAGTTCATTTATAGCCTGCCTTTAGCTTTTTACCTCTGGCGAAGTCTTCATTTAGGCATCAAAATTGTATTTTCACTAGTTAAAAAAGAAATTGTATTTCTGCTAGTGATGACGTCATTGTTGATATCAAGAATTCTTATCCTTGGAATGAAAGTTAAAACGGCTTGCCATAGGCTGGATTGATCCAGCAGCAGTAACGTTAGATCCATCCCGGCCTGCAGGGGGATCACCTCTCCCTTTCTCCCTCCCTCTCTCACACAGTCAGACAGCCACATACATGGCTGACGGAGTTCGTGAGGAGAGATACGGGTAATTTTGCATATTTAATCGCTTGGCAGATTTGAGGTGTATGCTTCTGACGGATATGAAGACGACGGTGATTTTTGGCGTAATTCACAGGTTAAATAGTTGGGGATGGGAGAGGTGAGTCACATCATGTATGTCTATATATGTGTGCTGCTGTATGACACGGTTTGTTTGCCGTTGCCAGGCCGCTTGTTTTGAGTCTCTGAGGAGCTCCGTCCTCAATGACCCGTTTATACACCTTGACCGCTAATATTAACGAAATGATATGATTGAACTATGATGATTAAATAATATAAGTTAATTTCAGTTGAAACAATCACGTTTTCAATAAAACAGTTAATTCTTGTCTCTCGTAGTCTGTTTGTTGCCGTTATCTCTCGCTATTTCATGACAACCGAGACTGAGATTTACATACTCTAAACCAGATTTACAGATATTTGGGATGAAATTATATCAAATGGGCTCATGTAAATTAGCACTGATGCTACAGCTAATATTGTAGTTAATGGATTGTTTCATCGTATAAATTAATTGTGGGCAATGTAGGATGCCAATTTGGGAACAATGTAAGGTTACTGAAGACTACTCACTGTAACGTTACTTGAACAAATGTATTGCGTAATTATTTCTCGCAAGAAAACAAACAGATCGTTTTTATATACTCTTGGTTTGGCTAACGCTACAGTGAAGTGGCTAAATTTGGCTGCTTTAAATATTGTAATATTACTTGTAAATTTTAGTGCAAGTTTGGTAAGGAAAATATCATTAAGGAGTGGCAAAAACGACTTTACAAGTCTGTAGAAATGTAGTTGGTTGTATATTCTAGCTACCGATTCATCATGATCAAGCTGGTCACTTTCTAGCCTCATCTCTACACTTTATTTGGCTAGTTGTAAAGCTTCAAAAACTTACAGCTAATAAACATTGTGATATTATTCTAGGTTTACAAATAACTATGGCTAGTTATTATATAATGCTATTTTGATATACAGCCAACCCATAATACTGGATGATTGTGATATTGAGGCACCATGGCATTTCTAGTACTCAAAAGTTCTTGACCAATCTTAATTTATTGAAATATTGCAGTATTTATAAATTGTTTATCTGTGCACATCATTAATATATATATTTATTTATTTATTATTAATGTGTCCACATAATCTTATACAAATAACTTCCCCTCCATCTTGCAGTGACATCTCTTCTCTTCTCTGATGACGAGGGCGGGACAACCTGTCTGTCACTCACACGAGATCACAGCAATAGCAAGCGACAACCATCCAATCAGTTTCCCATGGACAAAATCAAGTCCCGCCCTACTTTTTTTCTTGTTCGAGAAGCCATTTCACTTGGATATGACACAATAGGAAAGAAAAGACTATCGCAACTTTCATGCTGATTAAAAAAACCCCAAAAAAACATGGTACATGTCCAAAAAACAACAAAACAAACAAACAAAAAACATGAAATTGCAATGTCCTAGTCATTTTGTTTTTGTTAATTTGAATGTGTAATTCGATATAAAGTCAAAATCTTATAATTCTTATAATGAGATAAAAATTCTAAATTGACATAAGACATTTACATGACGTCAGCTTGATTTAAAATTGCTGACTCAATTTTTGTTAGCTTACCAAATATGTTCTTATCATTCTGTCTTTTTCTGAAAAATGGTTACTACAGATTTGCCTCCTAAGTTAACTAGAAAAATATTTGCTGTGCTTGTTTGCTGTAACCATAACACACGTTTATTCATATTTATCTCTTGGCTTTGTACATGTTTCTGTCATTTCACTGAGTTGTGTCATGTTTTGCAGGCTCTGATGCTGGCAGCACCATTACTGTGAAATAAACTCCAAACTCATTAAGAGAAACCAGCAGATATACCAAAGCACTCCAGAAGGCAACAAAATGTCCAAAAGCAAGAGCTCTGAATCCGTTAAGGTAGTGGTGCGTTGTCGCCCCATGAATGAGAAGGAGCGAGTCGCCAACTTCGATAGAGTGGTCTCTGTGGATGTGAAGTTAGGGCAAGTGGCCGTGCGCAACCCTCGAGCTGCATCCTCCCATGAGCACCCCAAAGTGTTCACCTTCGATTCCGTTTATGACTGGAATTCAAAGCAGATGGAGCTCTACGATGAGACTTTCCGCCCATTGGTGGACTCTGTACTGTTCGGCTTCAATGGGACCATCTTTGCATACGGCCAGACGGGCACCGGAAAGACTTTCACGATGGAAGGGGTACGAAACGACCCCGACAGGAGGGGTGTCATTCCGAACTCCTTTGAACACATTTTTACGCACATCTCCCGCTCTCAGAACCAGCAGTACTTGGTCAGGGCCTCATACTTGGAGATTTATCAAGAAGAAATCAGGGACCTCTTATCGAAGGACCAGATGCACCGATTGGAGCTCAAAGAGAGGCCTGATACGGGCGTCTACGTTAAAGACCTCTCTTCGTTCGTCACTAAAAGCGTTCGTGAGATTGAGCATGTGATGAATGTGGGGAACCAGAACCGCTCGGTTGGTGCGACTAACATGAACGAGCACAGCTCTCGCTCTCACGCCATCTTCGTCATCACCGTTGAGTGCAGTGAGTTGGGTCCTGATGGAGAGAACCACATTCGGGTTGGGAAACTCAACCTCGTTGACCTGGCAGGAAGTGAACGACAGACCAAAACTGGAGCGCAGGGTGAGCGCTTGAAAGAAGCCACCAAAATCAACCTCTCCTTGTCAGCTTTGGGCAACGTCATCTCAGCGCTGGTGGACGGGAGAAGCACCCACATCCCGTACCGCGACTCTAAGCTTACGAGACTGCTGCAGGATTCCTTGGGTGGAAATGCCAGGACGGTTATGGTGGCCAACATCGGACCTGCTTCCTACAATGTAGAGGAGACTCTGACCACGCTACGCTATGCAAACCGCGCCAAAAACATCAAGAACAAACCCCGCGTCAATGAAGACCCCAAGGATGCCCTGCTCCGGGAGTTTCAGGAGGAGATCGCCCGCTTGAAAGAACAGTTGGAGAAAAGGTCTGGCAAGAAGAGGAGAAAAAGGAGGAGGAGGAGGGTTGGAGAAGGAGGAGAGGAGTTAGAGGATGGGGAGGATGATGATGATGAGGACGATGATGATGACGACGAAGAGGAAGAAATGGGTGCGGATAAGAACATCTCTGATTACTGGCGTGAGCAACAGGAGAAGCTGGAGAAGGAGAGGAGGGCCATCATGGAGGACCACAGCCTGGTGGCGGAGGACAAACAGCGGCTGCTGAAAGAGAAGGAGAGGAAGATGGACGATCTTCGCAGAGAGAAGGACGCTTCCGAGATGCTGACGGCCAAAGTTAAGGTTAGACAGTCCAAACCTTGGGATGAAATGCATTACTGTTTAAAAGTGTTTATGTTTTTGAAAGAAGTCTCTATGCTCATTAAGGCTGCATTTATTTGATATAACAACACAATTTGACTGTTTTTACTGTAAAGTATTATTATAAATGTTTTCTATTTTTAATGTAATTTAAAATATAATTTATTCCTGTAATGTCTAAGCTGAATTTTCAGCATCATTACTCCAGTCTTCAGTGTCACATGATCCTTCAGAAATTATTCTAATATGATGATTTGATACTCAAGAATCATTTCTTATTATTATCAATGTTGAAAACATTGTTCTGCTTAAGTGCTGCTTAATATCTTTTTGTGGTAACCATGATACATTTTTTTTCTTTGATAAATATAAATTTCAACAGAATTTTTACTGTTGTCTTTACTGCAACTGTTGATCAACTTAATGTGTCTTTGCTAAATAAAAATATACATTTCTTTTTAAAAAATCTTAATGACCCCAAACTTTCGAATGTTTTTTTTTTAAACCTTGTGAAATTATTGCAAATTTTCTTTGTGATAAACAAAACATTTGATGAACCCCCCAAATATTTAATGTGTAAAAAAATACAATATTTGTAAAAAAAAATTTTTTTAAATGAATGTAAAAATTATAGGTGGACAATTTTAAACTTATTATACACGTAGATATATTTAAATCCATAATTTTTTTTTTTGCATTGGGGCAATTGAGACAATGTCATGGAAATGAGTAGTCTGGTAAGTCAAACAGAAAAAGATCCTTTATGGAGCCCTTACAAGAGTCTTTTGACGGATTAATTTAAAGAACCAGCTCATAAGAGTCATGTGTTCATATTTCGAATTCAATTCCGGCTGCAAACTCGCAGCTTTTTATAAAAAATAGGAAAGGTTCAATAGCATTTGTTTTAAATGCATCTGGCTTATCTGATAAGCAGTTGATTGTTCTCAGGCCATGGAGAGCAAGCTGCTGGTGGGAGGGAAGAACATTGTTGACCACACCAATGAGCAGCAGAGGATTCTGGAGCTGAAGAGACAGGAGATTGCTGAACAGGTACAGTTTCCAATAACACACCGTATAGGGATTGAGCTGGACTGTGTTTCAGTCCTCAAGGTTGCTTTAAAGGAGACAGGTTATTTTAGTCTCCTTATCGTTTGTGATGTGGATATTCTGGGAAGCTGGATTTTAAATGGAGAAAAAAAAGCTGATTTAAGCATTTTTCTATCTAACAGTCCTGTCCGTGCTTAGTTGCGGCTGCATTTACAAACCTTTCTTAGAAATTCTGATGCAATATGTAGCCTGTCGTTGTGTTCGACAACAATTTTCATCTAAAAGGTGATTGGCTAAAAATGTGTAATGTGTTCTTGCCGTTGTGATGTTATTAACTTTAAATGAGCACTTCTACTGGGGCATGTGAAATGCAAAGATGTTTAAACATTTATAATGTGTGTGTGTGAGCAGAAAAGGCGGGAACGGGAGATGAAGCAGGAAATAGAGTGTCGTGATGAAGATACACTGGAGTTGAAAGAGACGTACAGCTCACTGCAGCAGGAAGTTGACATCAAGACCAAAAAATTGAAAAAGGTATTATAGCTTTTTTTACTCATAACAATCATTATGTTAATTGGACATTTCTTTTTTATTCTGCTCTGTTAAGCGCTGCTGCCTAATAGTGGTGCAGGAAACACTATGGCTTATAGGAACTGTACAAATGAACATGTCAAAGTTACAATGGCAGTAGAAAAGCTGCTTGTGCATGTTATCAGATGTATTTTTAGAGTCTAGCTGTATTCTCAGCAGTCATTAGCAGTAGGACAGCTCTCATGGCAGATCTCCATCCTCCTGGTTGAGAATCATCCATACATGACTGAATGTGACCTCCTTTTGCCAGAGTGTTTTATCTCCTATAATTGGAGATACATTTTGCATTTCAAGAAGTTAAGGAAAAAACTGTTCACTAACAGAAATTCTTTCCAGTATCTTATTGAAAACATATTCCATTTTAATAATTCAGTGCTTGCCAAACACAGGTTTCTTCCTTTTTTTTTCTTTTTTTTTTACGAAAGAAAACCCCAGATTTCTTTATAGTAATGTTTGTCAACTCTGTTACTGTCAATTCTGTTACATACTGTCAACATTGTTACTCTACCATGGTAACCATATTGACAATTTTAAACTTTTTAGCCCAAAACTCCACTTGCTAGCATAAGTGCCAAGAGCACATAGCACTATGAAATCATGATTAAAAGACTTTTAAACAACCCACTATGTGATCAGTGATAAATTCTGTTTTCCTTTTGATATTGTGGTTACAATTTTGAGGCTTTACAAAATAACTTTTTGATTAAAATATTTTCTCAGAGAGAGCACACATACCTTTCAGTGCTCAAGATCTTATCAGTGAGGGAAAGTGACATCATTTCCTGTATCTTACATAGTTGTGAGAGATTATTCCACCAATTTAAAAGCAAAGTATGGTACGGTTACAGAATTGACAAAAGATTTATGGATACATTTTTATAAGATAAACGTTATTTTTAAACAATTTAACGTTGTAGAATTAGGACAATGACTATTTAGGGCTTTTATAAATAAAATAAATAAAATATTACCAATAGAAAAGTAAAATAATATATTTTTATCACACAATGATACATGATGGAAAAAAATCACTAATTCAGACAAGAAATCATTATATATATATATATATATATATATATATATATATGACCTGATCCAGCAAAATGAGTCACAGTGACCCAAATTTAAAAATTGAGATTTTGGTATTAATGGAAAGAGGTGACCTTAAGCTTTCAATTGATATCCTAGTCAAAGTCATACCTTGAATGGTTGTAAAGATATACAAATTTGAATTATGGTCGTCTGCCCTCTTTTTCCAATTGAAAACCTGAGAAAATCGCTTTTAAAGTTTTTTGCCCGTTTTTTGTTGATATCTTTCAAAATCCATTACATTTAAAGGCATAAACTATTTATTTTACAGCTTAATTTGACCAAAGACATTAATATATAAATGCTATTAAACCAAAGTTTTTATTTGAATAAATAATTTAACAGTGGGCCTACCTTTTACAAAAATGTACTAAAATCAGAAAGATTGAACAGAGGTGCTACATTGCTTGAGAGAGAGAGTGTGTGTGTGTGTGTGTGTGTGTGTGTGTGTGTGTGTGTGAGAGAGAGAGAGAGAGAAAGAGAAAGTGAGAGGCAGAGAGACAAGGAAACAGAGATCAAATAATGCTAGTCTATGCAATCATATCTTAGTGTAGGCTAGTTGACAATAACAGCGTAACAAATTCATAACGGAGTATTGGGTTAATCAAACACATTAATGGATTCTCCTTGTAGATAAATAGCTACACTCATTCACATTTGTCAATCACGTTAGTCACGCTTGCACACTACGAAACTTTCATCTGTTATATAAAAACAATCGTAAGTTTTTCGCATCCATAGCAAGCAGTTTGAATGGTGTTTTGACAATTCGGAGCCACCGAATCAATACGAAAAAACGCATACGAAAAAAACGCGGACTCAGTGTGCAATGGCCAGGGGGCTTGATGACGCTTTGGCAACTTTGCTCGCTTTTGACAGCGACATTTCTCAAATTAATAATATTTAATCTTTCTGAGGAGATCTGCTAGCTTGTTTATTACACAGAGCGCTCGCTGCGAGTCTGACAGGAGGGTGGCTGGACCAATCGCGTGCCGGTCAGTCGAAACGGCTTCCCATCGACAAATGATCAGCATTTGTGTACATTTCTAAGCTTTTTGATTGGTTCTATACAACGTGTAACACCATTTAAAGAGCATAGATAGTGACGTTTCAGGGGATACCCGGGAAATGCTCAGAGGTGACGAGAGGAGTTGAGAAAAGCAATGTTCATTTCCAGCGAATTTAGTAAAACTTTGTAAACTTTAATAGTAATTTAAATACCTTGACTCAATTATCTGGACTACGAAACTTTGGGAGATTATTTTTGAATGTCTGTTTTTTGAAATTAGCACAAAAAAAAAAAATCTATTATTTCATTGTTTTTCCACATAATCGGCCCATATCTTAAAATAGAACGTTGCGACTTCCGAATCATTTCGCCAGATCGGGTCACATATATATACATACACTCACCTAAAGGATTATTATGAACACCTGTTCAATTTATCATTAATGCAATTATCTAATCAACCAATCACATGGCAGTTGCTTCAATGCATTTAGGGGTGTGGTCCTGGTCAAGACAATCTCCTGAACTCCAAACTGAATGTCAGAATGGGAAATAAAGGTGATTTAAGCAATTTTGAGCGTGGCATGGTTGTTGGTGCCAGACGGGCCGGTCGGAGTATTTCACAATCTGCTCAGTTACTGGGATTTTCACGCACAACCATTTCTAGGGTTTACAAAGAATGGTGTGAAAAGGGAAAAGCATCCAGTATGCGGCAGTCCTGTGGGCGAAAATGCCTTGTTGATGCTAGAGGTCAGAGGAGAATGGGCCGACTGATTCAAGCTGATAGAAGAGCAACTTTGACTGAAATAACCACTCGTTACAACCTCGGTATGCAGCAAAGCATTTGTGAAGCCACAACACGCACAACCTTGAGGCGGATGGGCTACAACAGCAGAAGACCCCACCGGGTACCACTCATCTCCACTACAAATAGGAAAAAGAGGCTACAATTTGCAAAAGCTCACCAAAATTGGACAGTTGAAGACTGGAAAAATGTTGCCTGGTCTGATGAGTCTCGATTTCTGTTGAGACATTCAGATGGTCAGAATTTGGCGTAAACAGAATGAGAATATGGATCCATCATGCCTTGTTACCACTGTGCAGGCTGGTGGTGGTGGTGTAATGGTGTGGGGGGTGTTTTCTTGGCACACTTTAGGCCCCTTAGTGCCAATTGGGCATCGTTTAAATGCCACGGCCTACCTGAGCATTGTTTCTGACCATGTCCATCCCTTTATGGCCACCATGTACTAGGGGTGTAACGATACACAAAATTGACGGTTCGGTTTTCCCACGGTTTTGACGTCTCGGTTCGGTTCGGAAAGCTAAAATTGCTTTTTGTTGTTTGTTTTTTTTAAACAGTGGTTTAATGAAAAAATTGTCTTTGTCTTTAAATTAATTAAATTACAATTAAACTTTTCACAAGGATTAAAAAAAAAATCTGCTAATTCTGTAAACTATATAGGCTAGGGAGCCGCACATTACTATAACATTAAAGGTTGTAGCCTAGACTTTTAACCTAAATTCAGATGCTATTTATTTTTTAGATATAATAAACAACACACAACACATTGTATGAAAACATGTAAACTGAACATAAGGCAGTTTTTGCATTAACTTGTGTTTTTACTCTAATTTGTTATTGAAATATAATAATTTACACAGTTGTCATTTTCATGAAAGATAATTTAAACATACATTAAATAATCAAGATATCATTAACAGGTTAAGTAAAATATAATATATAGGCTAACATAGTGCATTTATTTAGTGCAAGAGTTCATTTAGGAACCAAAGTTGTGGACACTGAATCACTTGGCTGTTGAGGTAAATATGCTAGTGACAAGCTATGCTTTTTTATGGACGTCTTTCCGCTGCTGAAACACTGACTGAGCGATTACACGAGTTATGATGCCTTTCAATAAGTATACTGTATCTTTCAACAAACCTTTAGGTGTCCATTCTGTAACTGAGGAAGAGATGATCGCGTTTACTCGCGCGCCGCGCTGCTGCTTGAAATGAGGAGCCTAGTAGGCCTACAGCGATCTGTCACGCCAAATCAAAGAGCGCCAAAACGCCATTTATTGTTTGAATTTCGTGATCAAATAGACAGAATTTGAAAGATTACACCTTGCTTATTATCGAAAGTAACAAAACACGGAGCTTATTATTTGGTGTTAATGGTGGTTAGGCTACAAAACTGAATTCGTTGTGTACACATAGGACATGAGGTCCATTGAGCCGGGCTGGGCTGGGCGGGGCTGGGATTAGCAGGGGGCTGGGAGGGGCCGGGATTAGCAGGGGGTGGGGCGTGTTCGGTACGCAATGAGAGTATCGCGATTCGAATCGTGAGGTCTGTATCGCGGTTTTTCGGTTCGGTTCGAATAACGTTACACCCCTACCATGTACCCATCCTCTGATGGCTACTTCCAGCAGGATAATCAGTCCCTCCAGAAAAACGCGATTATGCGATCGCTGAATTCAATGTATAATCAGCCAAAGTCCGCATATTTATGCGGGGGTCGCATTTGTTCAAATACTCCGCAATTTCGCCGCATAAATTGCTGATTTCTGCGCAAAATATGCGGGGCTTGCATGATTTCATAATCCCCGCATTTTCGTCGCAAAAAAGTCACATATATCTTAGCAGAAAGTTGGAAAATGTTGCGTTTGCTTCACACAAGAGCAGCCATTTCCCCCTGTTACCATGGGAATGTTATGAAGTGACGTAATTACGCGACGTGAACATCATTGAAAAGCTGTAAAACAGGAGCACACTTTATTTTTAAATATTTAATTTATTCATTTTTACTGAAGTTGTAGCATATTCCTCTAGTAAAGCTACAGAACTTGTTTGACTCATCAATGTTTTGTAAGTTTGATGTGTTTATTAAGGTCTTGTAACGCGTTGTGTCGGGAAGAAAAATAGGGATAGCTCACAGCTGAAGTTATTGCAGAGGCCAGACAGACTCACGGAGGCGATTGGCATCTCACAACTCGCACTTTATTCCCAAATCGAACTCGTAACTGTCTGTCACACGTTCTACCGTCCACATCGTTACTTAATAAACAAAATAAGATAAAAGAAGTAGCATCAAACAGAAATTACCCCCACACACATGGGGTGTTCGAGGCGCATGGCACATAAAATATAATGACGTTACTGCAGACAGTTCAACAACAGGGAGCGCGCAGCTCTTAAAGGGGCCACACCTTATTTCCACTCGTTACAGTCTGAAATAAAACAAGATGAGAAATTAAATATTTCCAGCACTTTCTGTGATGTAGTATGCTTGCTTATCATAGGAAGTAATAAGAAAGGACTCTTTACATTAAGGTAGTAGCCTAGTGAGAACAGGGTGTTTGGGGAATCACTTTTTTTTTAAATCTTTTTCATCAAACCGCAGTTTTTGCAAGTTCCCGCAATTTTTGCAAGTTCCCGCAATTTCAGCGCAAAAAATTGCATAAATATCCCGCATATTCCATCGCATTTTTAAAGAAAACGGGCCACGTAATCAAGGATTTTTGCCCGCAACAATCACAAACTCCGCTCAATTTCATTTCGCTTCTGTACTCAGTATGAGACAGCGGCCTATCTATCCGTTTTCCTCCGGCCTGAAAACAACCGGGCCAATCAACGAACAGAGGGCGGGCTGAAAGCCGTGACGTAGTCGCTAAGCGCCGAGTTTAAGATTAGGTCAGGGAAATCGAAAACGACCACCGATATGGAGACGCGGATGCAATTCGCTCAGTTGTGGAGAATATTCCCGGCATTAGCAAACTGAAGCCCGAACAAGAAGAGTGTGTATTAAACATTTTGAATGGAGGTGATGTTGTGGTCCTACTCCCTTTGGGAAAGTTTAATTTATCAACTATTACCGATCGTCAGCGAGAAACTGGGGAGCCTTTTGACAGTTCAGTGTCTCCTTTCTTTTCCAGGTCTTAAATATTGCCATGACATGCTGTAATCTTGCAATTAAGTTGCAGCAATTCCGACAGACTCGAGATGAACAAAGAGCTGTGTTTAACAGAACTAATCCTAACTTTGACAGTTGGCTGCAAATATTTTTTTGTTTCTCTCTACTGTCAAATATCAGTTTAGAGGCCCTGATTGTACCGTGGATGCGTAGATTAACTTCGCATAATCTGCAAAAGTCGTTTACAGCCATGTTCACTCCGGTATTTTGCTCGCATCATCAAGTGTTTACAGCAGGTTTACAGTGGAAGTTCGATCATAGATTTGAGTTCGATGCATGATGTCTGTGCTTCGATGCGGCTGTGTTGGCACATAACATACGTCATATATAAACTTATCTGATTGGCTTACGGGTAACCAATGATTTTAAACTTCAGACAAGCGCCCCCTAGCGAGAGAGAAAACACTTCTCTATTATGCCATTCAAGACTCTGTCTACGAAGCAAAGTGAAGTAGCAGAGTCTGGTATTACCAGGCTAGGATAATGCACCATGTCACAAAGCTCGAATCATTTCAAATTGGTTTTTTGAACATGACAATGAGTTCACTGTACTAAAATGGCCCCCACAGTCACCAGATCTCAACCCAATAGAGCATCTTTGGGATGTGGTGGAACGGGAGCTTCGTGCCCTGGATGTGCATCCCACAAATCTCCATCAACTGCAAGATGTTATCCTATCAATATGGGCCAACATTTCTAAAGGAACACTTCTTGTTGAATCAATGCCACGTAGAATTAAGGCAGTTCTGAAGGCGAAAGGGGGTCAAACACAGTATTAGTATGGTGTTCCTAATAATCCTTTAGGTGAGTGTATATTATATACAATATTATATTGTTATGGCCTGTAACATCTTGATCCATGACAATAAGTAACAAATTATTAAAATATTTAAAAATATAACAGGGAGAAAAATATGATGACTTTGGACACCAAATGTACCTGCAATTATAGAATCACCCATATGCCTCACCTATTCCTATAAAGAGCTTAATCTTATTTGAATGTCTTGTCTGTTTCTGTCTCCTTCATGTAGCTCTTTTCCAAGCTCCAGTCTGTGAAGGCGGAGATTCAGGACGCCCAGGATGAACATGTCAAATACAGGCAGGAGCTGGAGCAGACTCAGAACGAGCTGACCAGAGAACTCAAACTCAAGTATGTCAACCCAAAAAAAACTCATCATCAGCATTACCAGAATTTAGGCATCACAACATTATGATGTTGGCTACTAAATGAAAATGAATATTCATTTTGAGGTTTGTTAAAGATTACATTTAACAGTGTTGATAATTTATTAGTGTTTTTAAAAAATCTTTTCAGATCTTATCAGAAACCTCAAACATGACGATAAAGAAATCATAGATTTAATAATGGTTTTGTTGCTATAGTGTGTAGTGTGTTCTAGGGGTGGAACGGTACATGTATTCTTACCGAACCGAAACGGTACGGGCGTCACGGTTCGGTGCACGAATTTACACGGAGAATACACGGTATAAAAATAAATAAAACTCGCGTGAAAATTAATTAATGCAATGGGGAACTACTGTTAGATACGCGGGTTCTTTAGGGACACATAATCTGTACCATCGGCTTAGCTCTGAACGCGCGTTCACTTCAAACGTTGGCTTTATACGCGCGTCCTATTCGCTTTGGATTAGCGTCGAACTAGACGCGATAGACGCGAATTTAACGCTCTATTCGCGTTTGGTGTGACCGCATAATGAACAGGCTGCGATGTCAAGATTGTAGGGCTGTAACGATACACCAAACCCACGATTCGATTCGTATCACGATTTTTGACCCACGATTCGATTCGTATCGCGATTCTGTCACGGGGGCGGGGCTTGGGGTGAAAAAAAAGATTTTGAGAGAAAAAATATATATATACTGGTATTTTTATTAAATAACATTAGGAAAAACCTGTATAATCTGAACACCAAAGAACAATAATAACTATGCAAATTATTAAACTAAACTAGGCAGTGTAGGCTGCTGCTTTTGGGTTGTGTTCTTTGCTCCAACTAAATTGATTTCGGGATGGTACCATAGGATATGCATCTGCATGTTGGACGTGTTGCCGGTCAATTGAGAAAGCTTATTAAAACACTTACGGCAAATTGTGTGGGTCTTGTAGATTACACGATTGCCATCCCTGTTCTCCACCGTGTAGCCGAAATGTTGACATACTGCTGACTGAAATGTAGGCTATTGGGAGGGTCCGCAATCTCTGGGTTGTTTTCCATGTTTCTTCACGTTCTTCAAATAGCTCACGTCACATGGAAAGGTAGTCACGACTCGCATGATATGTAACATGTAAAAAGACGCTTACAAGTTAATTTTTTTTAAATAGTTGGTTGGGATGAGTCACTGAGAATTTAATTATAGAATATCAAATAGGTTGTGCGATTATTGTCTAAAAAAATCTCCAGTTTTCGGTGCTGATGCGGTGGTGACGCGTTCATGTAACGTAAGGCTGGCACTGCCAATAAAGCACCTATAAGCTTACACAAAGAACCGGCAAAAGTAATGATTATGAATATGTCAAATATAGCAAGGAGACATTTAATTGTTTATTAGTGTTTTCTGTCAGTGTCAGCTGCAAAGACGAAGTTGCGATGCTGACTCGCGATCTTCGCAGTAGTGAACGCGCCAGAGAGAAATGCACTTGTCATACGGATTACATAAGCAGAGGGCAGTCTGTTTTCTTTCGTTTTGAATTGTTTGGTTTAAAAGTAGACATTTCAATATACCGGTAGATATATTTCTCAGGTCTATAGGCTTATACACTGGGTTTCGATTCATATGAGACGAGCTCCAGTTCACGCGCCGGCCCCTCTGTGTCGTGATTATCTGTCTGCTATATTTACTACTTATTTAATTGGTTGATGAAACATTTATTAAAATTTAGATACAATTAATACAAAACGAAATTCAATTTAAAGAAAGTATTTGTGCTTTTCTGTTTGAGGTCTCTGAAAGTTTTAGTGCCGCTTCCAGAGAACTGTCACGACATTGTTTTTTCCTCTTAAATGCGAACACGAAAAATAAAACAAAATGAATATTTTATGTTCTGGGGAGAGCCAACCCTCCTTCATCCGATGGGTAGCCTAGTAGCCTATTACTTTTGGTTTGTACAGTGTAATTTACAGAATTATAAAAAAAAATTTTTTTTTGCCACCTAAAAATTAAAGATGTTTTGTGTCGCGTCGCGTCCGTGTACGTGTGTGTATTTCCCTCATATTAAATATAAAATGCATGTGTAGTAGACTTATATTTTTCTAATGTCTGGACATGTACTGGACTTTATTAAGGGAGTAGGCTATGGATATATAAACAGAAGTGTCAATATATTGGTATTAAATGCACTTTCTGAGAATTTATATTTCAAGTTTTGGCTGCAAATTTCACGTCCATAACGCTGAAATTGCCAAATTTTAAATAATTTATCCTCAACTAGTTTTGTGGTGTAGGTCTACGTATTTTATAATGTTAACTTCAAATAATACTAATAGTAATTTAAAGATGTGGTAGCATTGGTTCTGGACAGGAAGGATAACTCTGGGAGTTGGAAGGGTTGTGATCGCGATTCTGCCTTCTCACATCGTGATACAGGATCGTGGACCTGAGTATCGCGATTTCGATTTTATATCGTGTATCGTTACAGCCCTACAAGATTGCAATGCTGGAGTGTGTGTGTGTGTTTGTGTGTGTGTGTGAGAGAGAGGCACGGCCGCGATCGAACAGTGGAAACATAAAAAACATAGGCCTACTCCGTCATTTTGTTCATACAGATCATTAAACCTGCAAAGTGTTTACTTAAATTTGTGTACACTCGCAATAAAACACAACATTGTGCTTTTGTCACACTGTAAACTCTTGTCAAACTGTAACCTACAACTGTCACCCAACCAAAATATCTCTCTCTCTCTCTCTCTCTCTCTCTCACACACACACACACACACACACACACACACACACACACACACACACACACACACACACACACACACACACACACACACACACACACACACACACACAGTTTTAAAAGCAAAACATATTTATCCAACTCCATTTCAAAACAGTCTGTGGGTCCCATCTTTTGGACATTCATCGCATTGGTTTTCATTTCTCGTCCTCGGAGCGCTAATCTTACACATTCTACATTGATTAAAAAAGAAAATCGAATGCGTTTTTAATGGTAGTATTATTTTATACAGAAATCAATTATTTATAATTCAGATGAGAATAATGTTACATTGTTAATTAATAATGTTAATTAAAATTAAGGAAAACAAATATATTGATCTGAAATATAGCAAATTAATTTTAAATTAATTCAGGTACAATTACCAAACGTCTTTTTGTCTTTTTATTAATTTAATTAATAAACTAATTATATAAAACTATTGTCAGTGCACTACAAATAAACTGGTTCTATGCCTTTATTAATAAAACTTATTTAAAAAATACAATGCCTTCTGCATTTTTGTTTTGCTTTTCCCTCCATTGTACCGAAATCGTACCGAACCGTGATGTCTGAACCGAGGTATGAACCGAACCGTGACTTCTGTGTACCGTTCCACCCCTAGTGTGTTCTGACCGAATTAAGTTGTTGTGTTGGACTGACTTCTTGGAAATCTGGACTCAGCACTACTACATTACAGATGTCAACAGTTTAATACACACTCTCGCTAAGACTCTAGTGTACTGAGCGATCTCTGAAGTAGAGTATCCATTAAGGGAAGATTTACCTGACAGGCTGCTTTTGAGTGCAGTTGGAAGAACGAGTTTGAGGTTAATGGCAAATATCTTGAGTGTTCAAGATAAAGAAAAGGAGAGAAAAGAAATATACTCTATTACAGATGTTCCAACTTCTTGATATGGCTTTCAAAAACCATTGTTAAGAAAAGTTTTAATTTGATGAATTTAAAAATATCATGTGGTACTGTATAACCACATGCGAAATGTACACATCTATATCATTATTTAAAAATTTCAAGGTGTAAAAGTATCATTTAAAAAATATATAATCACACAGTCATGAGTGCTTATAGGTGTCTTTTTTTGTCATATAACTCACCTTTTATTTTCCCTGCTTGATGGTTATACACTTTATTTTTCGGTGTTCTTATTTAACATGTACTTACTGTAGTTATGCATAATACATGAAACTAACCCTAAATCAATCCCTAGTCCTATCCTATTGTAAGTACATGTTGTTAATTGATATTACTTAAATGTAAAATTACACTGTAACAAGGACACCTTAAAATTAAGTGTAACCTATACCTTTTCAAATATTAATATTTTAAGAAATTTTCTTCACTGTTTTTAATAATAATAATAAGATTATGCCAAAATACTTCAAGGTTTAATACTTTAAGGTCTTTTTTCTTCATTATGAGGTCAGTTGTATCAATCTTCAAAAAAAAAATCAGAAATTAAAAGCATGTTTTCATGGAAGGGGTCATTATATAAGGCATTTTGAATAATGAAAAGATCCTCAACATCATGTCATTGACTTGTTAATTTTTGTGTTGTACCCACCAGACATCTGATCATAGAGAACTTCATCCCACTGGAGGAGAAGAACAAGATTGTGACTAGAGCCACTTTTGACGAGGAAGATGACCTCTGGAAAATGACCCCCATCACCCGCATTCAAAAGTATGTAGGCTGATTTTGGAAATTTGAAACTTGGAAATGATTTGGAAAGTGTAATTTTATGGCCACCAACATCCTTGGCTTCTTCACTGTAACGTTTGTTGTTTTTCTCAGTGATCAGCAGATGATGAAAAGGCCTGTTTCTGCAGTCGGCTACAGACGGCCTCTGAGTCAGCATGCCCGTATGGCCATGTTGATGCGGCCTGATGTCAGATACAAGGTATGCTGACACTGTTCCCATAATCCTCCACATGGCACTACACAAAGCCTTTAGTTACAACACTCCCTCACTCTTTACAGCGACACAGATGAGCTCAGGAGAATCAAACGCACGTCGTATCCTTGATCTTTTGATTTTCTCCCCGCCCGTCTTCCAGGCTGAGAATATCTTGCTGCTGGAGTTGGATTTGCCCACACGGACCACAAAGGACTACGAGGGACCGGTGATAGCACCTAAAGTGGCTGCGGCTCTGGAGGACGCTCTGAGAGAGGAGGACGAGATCCAGGTGGACGCCTCTGGCCTCCGTGCCAGCCTTGGCTCCAGTCCAGGCCTCAGCGCCACCGCTGCTGGGTTTTCCAAGAAACCAAAGTCAGGGTGAGAAATGATCCCTCCAACTAGGGCTGCACGATATATTGATAAAAAAATAAATAAAAAATACGATATCGCAATATGGCTTCGTGCACTTGTCAAATCACGCAGATTGCATTTTAATTAAATGAATATATGCCACCGGCTCCAGAGTGGCACTGCTCATCCACACGTCTGCAACCCATCATAAAGTGCTTTCACCCGACCACGAGATGCCCACATGCAAAGTGCAGAGTTTCACTTATTTTACAGCACAACAGTTACAATATATTTCTTTTGTTTAATATATAATTTAAGAATAACTATTAAAAAAATCACTTATTATTTTATACTGAATTGGTCAAGAACAGTGGGAAAATACCTTATGCTTATTTCTTGCTTTTTAAATTTTTTTAACCTCTGGCCACTTTATGGTTGCTGAAAGAGGTTTGTGTTAGTTCTGGTAAAGAGTAAACCCAAGTGTGAACACCCAAATTTGAACAGAATGAAATGAAACAATGAAATGATCAAATAAATTATTAATGAAAAAACTAAATGAAATAAGATAATGAAATAAAATAAAGAAAAACAAATCATTCAGTTTTAAAGGATTATACATTTAAAATTATTTTTACTTTGCACTCCCCAACAGAATCACTCCACTCATTCTAGAATGATTACTTCTTACCTAATATAGCTATTTTAGTTGTCTGGTGAGCATTCATGTATTTCTTCATATCGCAGAAAAAGGAAATCGCAATGTCAGTTTTTTCCAATATGGTGCAGCCCTACCTTCAACCTCTTCCCTTTTATTTTTCACCTCTTTGTTTACCCTACCTTAATATACTTTTTTGTTTTCCCCTATAATCCTCTCACAGCCGCCCAAAAACTGTCAAGAAGGTGAGCACTGCAACTTCAGCTCACAGCCCTTTGTCCGGCTCAGGGTCCCCTCTTTACCCACAATCTCGAGGCCTTGTGCCTAAGTGACCCCGGCCTTCGCTGCTCCGTATGAACTAACCAGCTTTGGCATCAATGTTCTTAAATGCCAGGCAAAATCAGTCGCATTAAAGACGGTGGAACGTCTCATCAAGCTCCTCCTGGTGTGGCATTTAAACCAATCGGCCCTCACTTAATGCTTGAGCTTTCGTACCACCTTGTTTTTAGATGTCCTTTTGACATCGTGTTTATAGCACAAAAAAAAGTTACATTTGGCAACCTTCAAAGTCTTAAAGCTCACCACAAGATGAACTTCCACAGATTTAGTTTGCACTCGAACAAAATGTTACATGATGTGTGTATGTGTGAGGTCATTGAGACAGCAGATGGTCTCGGCATTGTGACCATACGTGTTAGATTCGTCATTGTGGGTAGGTTTTTGTGTGTGTCTACTTTTTCCAATTGTAGGAATAACAAATTTCCCACAAAAAAGTAGTCGAAGATGATACCGTGTTGAGGGAGCATAAGGACATTTTGTGATTGGCCGAGACCCAAAACGACCTCTAAGCCTTTCTCGAAGACTATTTGAGTCTCTTTGGCTGGGGGAAGGGTCGCTGTATCCAGTTAGGAAAGGAGTTGGGAAGTTTGAAGGTCATCACACACTAAGATTATCAGGGTTCCAAGGTGCCTTAGATTCTCATTGAGTACAGAGGGGGGTCTCCTGGTGGTCTGAGAGTCCCTTGACCTGAAGAACTTGTGTCCTGAATGCTTTGATTTACACTATAAGTCTTTTGTGTTGGGCAGGCTTGTATTTAATGGTTAAATGTTACACACGGAGATCTGTAAACATGAGTAAGTCTTATATCTGTCTGTTGAACTGTCAAACCGTCACTACCCCTCCTTGAACTAGTGAAGGTAATACCATTGCCTGCTGCTGCTGTAGGGTTCTTTTACCCTGTGTCATAGCATACGGTTTATGTATATTGAGAGATGTTAGTAAATAAATCTGCATTATCATTGCAGTTGTATTAAAATAATAATAATAAAAGAATAATGCGTCTGGGAGTGACATTTAAAAGGCTAACTTGTTGGTTTTATATTCAAGCAATTGTAGATAGTTTTTAACAGTCTTATTTTCTTTGCTTAGATTTATATGGTTTATTTTTGAATTTTTGTGTTATTTAAAGTTCTGTACAAATTTATTTTTGCATTTGAGATTAAGTATAATTTTCATGCGATTCACTAAATTCTTCTGTTTTAAGCAGATTACATTAAATAGTAAACAGTTTTTGGATTATCAGAATGTGTATTGCAAATCCTGATGCTGGTATTCTCATTGAAATGTGTGTATTTCTTCATTTAAATATGCATAATCTAATTCATATTACTGTCTGCTCCATCCTGGCTGTATTATTGCATACGTTTATATTATTTTTAAGGTTTTAGTATGACATAAGAAGATCTAAAGCTTTATAGACTAAATTAAACTATATATGTCTGCATTCTAATACTCCACTTACACCTGCCATGTGATGCATGAGTTCAGTGCTGATAAACAAACACACAGAGAAAATATTTTTAATGTTTAGAATGCTGATGTCCTAAATTTCTTAACCATCTTTTAATTAAATGATGATTAATATGTTTGACTGTGCAGGAGCGGATCCCCTTTTATTCAGATTTCATTTTTAATTTCTTATTCCACCAAAAATCACAGTTTAACTTCCATAAGTAATAAATAATCAGAACTTTTCATTGTTTCACCCAAACGTCCTCCTGTTGTAGACCTCGTCCTCTTCCAGGTTATAGCAGCGCAATGATCTTGTAATCTGAAGCGTGGCCTTCCAATTCTGAGCGAGATCATTACATTTTGTTTTTGATCATTCAAACTTCTTAAGCTGAAAATATATTAAGCATTTTTTTAATGACGAATTAATTTTGTTTAAAAAGATGGAGAATGTTTCCTTAGTAGAAATATTTAAATGGGACCTGCTGTGCTGCTTTTTTTCTTCAATTTTTCTCTATCTTTAGTGTGAAATGTTGCTGTTTGAGCACGAAAAGGGTCTGCCAAGTTACAAAGCACGTGTCACTCCAAAGAGAGTTATTCTCTATATCAGTAAACACTATTTCTGAATTCCCTGAAACACTTAGATTGTAGACCTTAGTTTTCTTCAGGGAACAAACACGTCACAATATTCCTCATTTAAATAATTCCTGCCCAAGGCATACGCAAAATACAGGGGAGAGGCCTGGTTGAGCTATATTAATAGGCTGTCCTAATTCAGAGGCTACATCCTTCGAAGGACTCGAATTTCAACTGGCTATAAACTATATAAAATCGCATCTTGGTAAGATGTCAACATTTGAACCGCTTTATTTTTTACATTGTATTGTTATATATTCGAGTAAGTTGAAGGCCAATACTTGCATTTAAAAGTGTAATCCGGCAATTTCTCACAAAGAAATCTTGTCATTAGCCTGCAATAAATTCTGGGGTACGCAAGGCCGCGAAGAATCCATCTGTTGTATCCTTCATTGCTCAGAAAACGAAGGACTTATTTGGCGCCTTTAAATTGGGACAGCCTTTGTTGCGGCTTGGTGATGCAATCTGCCTTTGAAGGATGCAGCCTCTGAATTGGGACACATTTGTTGAAACGCATGTTTATGGAAAGGGCCGTGACATTTTCCAAACACTCTCAAAGCGGTTGACCAATCACAACACACTGGTCCAGCCGACCAATCAGAGCACATTGCGCTTTCTGGGAGGAGGGGCTTCATAGAGACCAGAACTAAACTGGGATGCGTTTTCAGTACAACGACGTAACTGCTTAACTAGTTCGATGCATCTTTGAAGAAATCAACTAACTAGTCATTTCAGTTTGCCGAAACCATATTGTCGCAAATTGATCGTTCAACCACGTTGATTAATGATGGTGGAGTAATACTACTTTCAATTAATCTGTTTGAAATCAGAATAATGCTAGATGCTTTGCTATAAATTACGGACATGGCATCTGAGGACTATTTCTCATTTTTCTCAGTTATTTTGCCTTATTTCCAGAATCAATCATAGGCTCGTTCTTACATACGTTCGCACATGCGTACTCTTCAAAAATGGTGCTTTAAATCTCTTGACAAACTAAACGACGTAAATTACATTTGTATGTATTCTAAATAAAAGACACAGACTGTACTGAATGTCAGCTTGCTTATTTATTGAGTCCACATTCATGCAAACAAGAAACTATGCTTCTAACCACAGGTCGAGAGCTGTCGTTCCAACCACACAACTTTGCGATGCTGTTTGCGAATGTTCGTTAGAACGATGATTTCGGGAAACATCGACTCGTTGAACTATGCTGATAACGACGGAACTTGCGACCATAGTTGGCCAACCATGCTTCCGGGAGACGCACCCTAGAGTGTTACTGACAGACTGGGTAGAGAGGTGCTGCAACAATGAAATATGTGAAAAATAATGTTTTATAAACATTAAAGCATGAAAACCTGTTCTAATTGACCCCAAAAACAAAATCAAGACTTAGTAAAAACATAATGACTTAAAAATGTTTCTTTTAAATGTCATTTTTACCCTTACCCAAATAAACATGAACCTTGAGAGAAAATTCAAAAACAAGTCTTGATTTTTTTTTTATTGTTTAATATGCGCATACAAGTAATGTGGCATGTTACATCCTTCATGTATTATTAGAGCTGAAGAATAAGGATCACTGAAGGTGAAAGGGTTTGTGATTAGCTTTTTAGCTAAACGTTCAAAATCTGGATTCTCAATCTTCAAAATCTACAACATCTACAATAAACGCGAGTTCAAAATGATGTTATATTTACACTTAATAAAAACACTCAAAAGTTTCGAAATTTCAATTACATATTGCAAGTACAATACACCGATAAAATGAACAGAAATGTGTCATCATTCCAGTGTGCAAACTCAAACTTTATTGAAGTTTCTGTTTCCTACAAGCACACAATCATCAATGAGAACTAAAGAGAGAAGCTCCTGCGCTGATGAATTGTGTAGAAATCAGAACTGGGATCATAGAATCGCCAGATCCAACCATGGTTTTACCACCACTGTGATATACAAAAAGCAAAAGATCATTTTCAATACTTTTGGTCAAAAAATAGAAAGGTCCTAACATTTTGGTCTTTTTGTTCTTTGAGTTAAATATATCAAATAAAATGTTTTCCTAAAGTATTCCTGAGTAGGGCCAAAGATTCTGAGCGCTGAAAAATATCCAAGTGCTTCATTTACCTGATGAAAACTAAATTTGGTGATTACCAATAAATAGAATTTCACTAAAAAAAATTCTCTTCATTTTCACACAATCTTTACAATATAATGGTAAAGCTTGCGATATGACCCAATGAAAACGTAAATCACTGTGTGTATCATTCTGACGGATGATTATTTCTTGGTAACGGGGTGCAGAAACGATTTGTTACGCGCATGGGTCAAGGTCAAATGTAATGCTACCAGCGATGGTAATCAAACGCACATAACCACAAACTCCAGTACTGACAAAATGTTGGTGCACTACGGCAGTACACATGCAGGCGTTATTCAATATTTTGGAGAACACAGTAAAGGCAAGGAAAAGAGTTCAACAGTGGAGGGCCAACCTGTGTAAAGGTGCGGTCACATTAGCGAAATTTCGCTGGCAAAAAAAAAAGTCCAATGTCAATAGAGTAAAGATGCCTAAAGCACAGCTCACACAGAAGCCACTTTCAAAGCAAGCAGCCTTCAGTTAGTCATCCACATGACCACCTTGAACACGAGCGAAATCTGCGTGAAGAACTCTCTCTTACTCGCACGAAATTCCCGATCATATGAAGCAGAAGTCACTTTCTTTTGGTCAACGCAGCGGATTCACGTGACCGAAATTGAAATGACTGGATCTGGCCAAGCAACGGTAAATGTGACCGCACCTTAAAGCTATAGAAAAATATTCAATTCACCTTGCCAAACTACACCACATCCCAAAGTGATGCTACTCTAAAAGAGCTCACAGCAACAAGCAATTCCCACAGGGACAATGTGTCGTAGGTCACGTACGTGTTCGATCATCTCGAGGGGAATACCGAATTAACAAAAGAG